TGTCGGGGGATGGAGGGACGGGGGGTGAGGAGGGCCTGCCCCTGGGGAGGGAGGTGGGCTCTGAAGAGGATCGTCCTCAAAGCTCCAGAAACAAGACAGTGGGAGAGGTCGCCGGACCTGGCGCGGCCCTGGCCCTTCACCTGGACGGGCCCTGGCACCTGAGGCCTCCTGACCTTGGTGGCCTCGCCTGTAGCAGATCCAGACCCCACTGTTTCCCAGTGAGCGCGACCCGTGGGCCCTGCGACTCTGAACCACAGCTGTCCCACCCTCCGCCGGCCGCTGGAGATTCCGGGGCCGCAGGGACAGGCTGGGGGTTTGTGGGAATAATGGTCCGTAGTGAGATGAATGCAGACAGTGCTCATTTCTATGTCGCTGCAGGAATTGTCCTCCCAGGGCCCAGAGTCCCCTGGAGACCGGCGAGCGGCCCTGGAGACGGGCAGGAGCCACTCCGCAGAGGCCCAGGGAATTCTTCCCGTCTTTGCCCAGCTACCCCTCCCCCCGAGGGAAAGTCCCGCTGACTGGTCAGCTTCAGCTGCTTTCCAGGCAGGTCCGCGGGCGCACGCACCACCCTCTGGTCCGGCAGCGTCTTCTTCACGTCCCCGTTGGAGAACCGCACGATGGTGGTCCTGAGACCCTCGTCCTCGGCGTCTTTGCAGCCCGCGCCGCGCGTCTCGCCCACCTTCGCGGAGACACAAAGGCCCGGATTGGAGAGAACATGACCCGGTGTCTCCCTCTTCCTCCTCCACGCCCTCCTCGGCCTGCGCCACGTGGCTGGACCCGCCTGTGGTTTCGTGAACAGACACTAACCCACCGGCCCCACGCCCGCCCCACGAGGGGCGAATGCGATCCTTCGCCTGCAAATGCCGTTTCCTCCAGGTCACCATGCAGATCATCAGCGTCAGCCCTCGGCCTGGGTAAGCCAGCTCCTGGCGTTGGTGGAGCTGGAAACCTTGACCCCATAAACGGGTGATTTCCACGTAGACTTGTCTTCGTGCACTTTTCCTTCCTTCCCACCCAGGCCTTGGCCGCACGCCACCCACCGTGTCCAGAGGTGACTGGTTTCTATTACAAAAGGCAAGTCTCACGTAACGGCGTGGGCACCGTGCTGAGCTAGGAAGTCAGAAAAGCCTTCAAATGTCTGTCACGGTTCACAAAGGGAGACGCTGACAGAAACGCTGCGACATTCGAGAGGAATCTACACGCCAAGATTCTGAGTGGCGATGGGCGACTATCGGTGACTGACCGTCACTCCACCCGTGGTGTCACTCCACACGGCTCAGGGGCCGCGTCGAGGCCACGGGAAAACGCACAGGCACTGACCCCACTGGCTCTGAGCGTCCTCTGCACCCACCAAGCAGGTCGATGGCGGGCCCCCCGCTGGTCCCCCCTGCTGGCCCCCCGC